GGGCCAGAGTCCAGCAGGAAAGTGCATGGTGCCCAGAGTCAGCATCTCCTAAGTTGCTACTGCTTTTTCTTCTTTACTGAAAGGTTGTACTGAGCCAGGCTTTACCCATGACAGGCCAGCAACATGAACACTTTTATTGTGCTGTTCTTCAGGCTTTTTCTGAGTCAGCATCTTCTCTCTGGCTTCATCGTGTACAGAAGGATTCCATGGAGAAAAACTAATTGCATACGGGTCTTCTATTTTAGGTTGTTCAAACAAACGAGACGTGCACACCTTAACATTGTCGACTACTTTGCTTTTAAAAAGGTGAACATCTTTTTCATACAGTACTGCAGCCTCTGGATTTAAGGGGTTTGCTGTATCAATCTTGTAGAAAACTCTCCTTGCATACATTAATACTTGCCAAATATGATTATGGTTCCGCCTCCATTTTGCAAATGCTCTCTTCACATCCTGTTCACCTGAAGTGGGATCAACTAGCGGGTGAAAGACGGGAATATCAAACACCAAGCGTGGACAATCACCATCTGGATAGTTATCAGGGATGTAAACTGTGAACTTAAACACGCCGTCTTGATAAAGCCCATGCCGTATGAATATTACTCCAAACCACATTAATGCGGAGCGGTAAGATGGCTGCACATAGACTCCCGGTAACTTCTGCTTCACTACCAAGGTAAATTCTGCGAGCAGAGAGTATTCCAGGTAGAAGGGGCCGTAAGAAGCATGTGTGCCATTTGTTGATTGTGCTGCCGGGGCAGGAGTCGTAGGCTTAGTTATGGGTAGTGCATTTTTGGGAATAGAAGGCAGCTGTTTTTTTGGTGCCGTTCTTGGAAGACTGCTTTTCACATCCCCTGCTAATGTCTTCTCTTCGCCATCAGAACGTTTGCGTACAGAGCTTGTAGACATGCTCCAGAAAGGGTTCATAACGTGTCCTCCGAACAAAGAAATTCAGTGGTCTGTGCCATCTAACTCTTCTGTCCTTTGCATTCACTGTATCCCGGTGTCTTCAGGGCAGAGCTCCCGGCTTCCTAACGCCTTCGCGGTCCCACAGCATCTCTAGCAGCAGCGCCAGCCCGGCCCCTGCCCGCGCCCCGCCCCACCCCGCCCTCTATAGTTGGTTTCTGATATTAATTCTTTTTTGGGGGAAGTGGCTCAGCCCTCCCTGGCAGTGTGCTGGCATGTGGTGCTGGGATTGAACTGCGGTCTCCTGCACCTACCCAAGCTTGCCTAAGCAGGTGCATTAGACTGCTGAGCCATCTCACCGGCCCATCTGATATTAATTCTATTGTTAATAGAATGCTGCCATAGACCTAACCAGTAGGGGCAAGTGGCCAGGAATTTAAACCTCTAAAATATCATGAGCCAAAACACATGTAACCTTCTAAAAATTGAATTATCTCAGGTACGTTGTGAAGTAACAGAAAGATAACATGTGGGATAAAAGACAAAACTTTTTATAGAAGAGTTCCAAATAATATGAATGACTTTTATCAATATTTAAAAATTTAGGAGACTGAGTGTGGTGGCGTGCGCCTGTAATCCCGGGTCTTGGGAGGCTGTAAACAGGCATATCATTATGAGTCTGATCTAGTAGTGAGACCCTGAACACCCTGTAGACTTTTCCCTAAAAAAAAAAAGAGGAAAAAAATTTTAAAAATTAGGGCCAGCAAGAGAGATCAGAAGAACTAAAGTGCCTGCTAGGCAAGTTTAGGCATGCACAAGGACTGTCCTCTGATCCCTGGCACCACATGCTGCTCTAGCCCTACCCCCAGGGCAGGCTGAGCCAGCTACAGAATCTGGGGACAGTGTCGCTCACCTGTAATCCCAGCACTGGGGAGGCTGAAAGCCGGAGGATCACCATGAGTCTGAGCAGCGTAGTGAGACCCTGCAACAACCAAACACACAAAAAAGAAAAATTAAAAATTTAGTAATATGTATCCTCAACAAAAGTTTGAATTTGTTTTGAATTTTATGAAATTTTCAAATAGGGTATTTATTAGGAAAATGTTCTCACTGATCTCAAGAATTTTTCATTCTGGAATATTTAATATTCTCTATCTAGAAAGTTATCACAATGTTGTGCTGTATTCTACTTTCATATAATTATATAACTTTTCTGCTTTTACTAAATTTCTTAAAACTTCAGAAAAAATAGTTCTAGTGATGATGTGTGTTACATTATAGGCAATATTTTTATTACAAATTTTCTAAGAGTTTACATATGATCTAACACTATATTTTTATTGAATCTCTTTTGCAGAGACTATCGATATAATCATTTTTCCTAGGTTACATTGTCTTCCTTTTCTTTATAACGCAGCGCTGGCCACAGACTGAAGCCCAGCTGTGGCTGCCGTTGCTATGGCCGCCCTTGGTTTGTCAGCTATAAACGCCATAGACACGAGACACAAATGGAAGAGAGGCAGAGGATTGGAAGATTTCCCTTTGATACACTTAGCAGAAATCTATCATCCTTTCTGGAAACTTCATCTTTTCTTCCCAATACTCATCTTCTGAGGCAATAACAGAATAAATTTCTATAGAAGCAGGTAATTTTTGTCTTTATAGAGAGGAGGTAAGATGTTGGGATTTACTTATCTTTCTTGTCATTATAACCAACTTCATGTGTATTAATATCAAATAAGTTAGTCATCCTTGGGCATCTGTTTTACATAAGGGATGGCTCCCAAAATACTTTGTGATTGTATTATTACATAATATATAATATTGTGCGATGAATAATCACATTTACATATAGAGAGAAATTAATCTTATTAACATAAGGAATTGATTGCCTCTGTGACCCTCTAAATGGGGGAGGAACTTTTAGATATTTCTTTATGTTTTCTGTTTGTTCCAAATGTTTTAGTGAAATTCTGTTTCAAATATTTTAATAGTTAAAGGGAAGCAACTTCTTTCTCTGATGGGAGGGATCCCTTTCTGCTTGTATATTTGTTTTAAAAAATGTAGTCTTCACTTTTTAGTAGTTGCTGTAATGTGAACTTGTGTGTGTGTGTGTGTGTGTGTGTGTGTGTGTGTGTAATTGTTTGATGAAAATCTAATTTTATGAAATTTTTTATATTGGCAGAGATCTCAAGGCAACCTAACCTCTCTTCACTTACACAAGGGACAGAATCAAATACACAAAGCTCAACAGAAATACTCAGAACCTTCTACTGAAGAGTCTTTGATAGCTACGTACCCATTAGTCACCCAAATAGGAAAAGACAAATACAATAAACTTTGAATTCTAGGCTGAAACATATTAAAACAGAGATGCTGAAGACTGGGACGCTTTGACTGAGGAGAGTTTGTCTTCACACGTAGGAATGGGCACTCAGCCTGGCATACAAGTATGGAGAATGGTTTCTCTAAGAGAGTAGATGAGCCCAGCCTCTCAGGATGGGATCATCTGGGAAAGTCTCACAGTCTCTGGCTGAAATATGGCTGGAATGTGTTGGAAGCTAAATCATGGGTAGTCTTGGAATCTTGGTAACAAAAAATCTTCCTGAGGTACTGAGGAAAGGTTGTTCGTGTGGGTGGGGGGAGACTGGGAAAGAAGACATCCTGATACTAGATCCTCTGACTAGAGTCTAAGTCCCAAAATTGTGCCTGAGACTCCAGCCTGGAAAAAAGTGCATATGTGACTCACTAGAAATACCCCTCTCCAAGTCTGAGAGGGACAGCTTTTGCTTTCCTACATCCAGTTCACATGGAGACTACAGAGACAGGGAACATCAGATATAACCCCGCGCACCCTCTGCTTCTGCAATAGCCATGTCTTGCTCCTTCCAGAAGTGTGGCCCATCTGAAGCTCACTCCTGGGTCCCCTGAATTGTGTTCTTCCCACTGGCTCCTCACCTGCCCTGGCTCCTCAGGAACACATTTGTGAGTGTGTCTGAGCTCAAGGTGAGAGTTTCTATAGTAACTCAGAGCAGGATAGAGATAGGGCCAGAGAGAGACTTTGGGAGAAGGGAGCAGTAGAGTATGGAAGAGGAGGATAGGAGCAGAGTATGGAAAGATGGGTAAGGACCAGAAATCTGGATGAATGGATTGTGGTGGACAGAGCAGGAACCAGCCTGGGAAGGGTTGTTGTGGTCTGCAGGGTGGATAAGGGTGACCTGGGATGACTGCACCTATTCAGTGGTTGCACTGCTGGCTTTCAGCTCATTGCCCCAATGGCGGCTTTTCTATGTCTATGCAGATCCCAACTCTGTTTTATTTTTTATTAATTTTATTGAGAAACAGATAGCAATTAGATAGTTTCAAAACTGATTAATAGGACAGTTTCAATAATTAATACATTGCATATTGTTATCTTCTTAGTGGTTATTCATAGTACAAGATGCAGACATGATATCCTGTCCAAATACTCTTAGTACCATCTTCTTCTCATTGAATTAAGAGAAAGTAGCTGTATATCTATCTTATTTTGTATATACAGATACAAAATGGTCCTTCATTTGTATCCCTTTTTTGTTTAATTTTGTTAGAGATGGGTATTCCATTGCCATTCAAATATTGTAGGTGCGTGAATTCAGCAAAATAATCCAATAAAGTCCAGTAGTCCATGATAGTAGTGGGTTTTCTGTAGGACTGGCAATGTCAGAAGTTGTTGACTTGAACCTTTCGCAGCTCAGCATGTTAATATGGCTTTACTTTTTATACCTCATTTTTATACTTTTCTGCTGGATGGTTAAGATCAAGATAAAGCAAGACCTATATAACAAGATATATATCTTATAAGGTCAGTCAAGTCTCCTCAGGATTTATCCTGTTATCCTGTACCACAGTTTGCAGATCCTTTGTCAATGTCAGCCATGTGGATGAGTCATGGCCATTGCTTGACCAATTTGTTCTCTGTAAAAGCCTGAGGGAATGTTTTCTCTCCATGTGACTCCCCTTAGGCACACTCTACATCATTGATCACATTGTTCTGTGGCCCCATAATCTTGATCAGAAAATTTGGGATGCAACTGCAAGCTCTATTTTATGTCTGTGATTTTCTATCAATTCCTGAACTCCATTTCCAAATAGATTCATGCGCACTGAAGTACATTGTACTTAACATCTCTGTGAAATGGCATGAGGTAGCCACTGCACTATTGCAAAAATTTCTCAATTTATTAGTTCAATTGCCTCTTATTGAACAAAGGAATACCAAGGATCATGGAAGACTCTAGAGGAGAAAATATAAAGAAGACATACTCTGTCTCAAACAGGTTTCTATAGCGCACATCTTAGATTTAGTTCCCTACTACCTGAGAGAAAAACTTCAAATAGGAAAAATTTAATAGCTCTAGATGCTACTTTTCTGTAGGTTTCCACTGTGTCATTCAGAGCCACCCAAAACCGTAATGCCCTGCTAACAGAGTCAGCAGCAGGGCCATCCCCTCCCTAGTGTCCCACTCCCATGAGTCCCTCTAATTGTTTGCCCAGGTGCCCAGACCCATGCTCACCATATCTCTTCCTGCTGTGGCTCCTGCTCTGGGGCTGCTGCCACTCTGGGCTGGTGGCTGCTGCCTGAGTCACAGCTCCTGCCAATCTTTTCAATACTGACACTGACCCCAGAGTTCTGGCTGCTGTGGCAGTGACGGTGGCAGTGGTGGAAGCAGTGGTTACCGTGGCGGCAGTGCAGTGGCCATCAGTTTGGGGGCTCCAGCTGCTGCTGTGGCAACTGTTGCTGAGCCAGAGCCAGGGGTCATCTGAAGAGCAAAACTGTGCAAGAAATTAAATGGCAAAGGGCATATGAGAGTGAGGCTTCATCTTCTCCTCCCTCTTGTCTGCTCTTCTAACCCCCAAATCAGTTGAATAAATGTACAAAGATTGCTTCTCATAAGCAGTCATCAGCTCTGTGCTTTTCTTGGCTGTCCATTCATTTTTGCCTAATGTCAATCTGGATATGCATTCAACTGTCAAAAAACATTACAGAACATGTGTTTTTACACTAGCAAAACTTCTTTCAAGTCTCAACTTGACTAGTGGTTTTGAATTATACTTTTCTCTTTTTATCTAAATACTTGTCCTTCTCTTTCAATAGAAAGATAGTTGTCATTTTACTGGGCTGGAGGAAAGCAACTTATTAAGT